ATGACCCAAACATATGTTAATCAAAATAAACTTGAGTTTTAGGGTAATATATATTTAGTTTTTTATTTTAAATGACTTTTCTTTTTGAATTTTCAAACAGGATTATAGGATTTCTATTATTCTTAAGAGGAGTTCTATGATTATATTTAAGTGAGACTAAGAAATTCTTTTTTAGTGAAATTAATATGAAAAAATATATATATTTTGGTGAGCGAAATAAGTGAATAGTTAGGTGGGGATAGCAATCAATTAATTATTTAACGTTGCTTCCTTTTCTTTTCTGGTTTTACAAAATTACTTGAGTAAAAGATTTCTATCCTGTGAATTAAAGGGGGAAGAAAAAGGTTGTTCCCTTCCTTCAATATATATCATCAACACCAACTAATCTTAAATGCCACACGTGTCACATGCACTAAAAATTAAGAATCTTCTCTATATTTAATTAAATAAAGGATACTATATAAATAAGTTGTACTCCTAACAAGAAAACATAGGCTATAAGATGATCTTGAAAATGGGTAGGGATTTTGATATCATAGTTGACTACTTGCTCCACGTAGTGCAAGTATTTTGGTGGTAGTAATACAAGAAATGAGTGAAGGCTTGTGGTCCTTGTCCTCATCAAATGGCTCATCTTGTTCAAAAGGGTATGATGAGGGTCTCAAGAAGAACCCATCTTTGGTAAAGATCAAACATGTAAAAGTATTTTCATAATTTTACACTATCATGAAAATAGACATAAATCACCGTCAAAATATAAAGCCATGTATGCAAATTACTTTGCTTTTCCTTTGAAGATCAAAATAACCCCACAAACTTTGCCCTAGTGTGACACTTCGCTTTCCTAGCTACATCATCTCCACCTATGTATCTCATTGATGCGTTTCATCCTAAATCTAGGAGGGGAACATTTGTGTACAACGCATAATGCATAAAACAATCAATTCATTTTACCATCTTGGTTAACTACACTACCTATGATCATGTGTAGTGTAGCACTTCCAATTAATGTGAAATAAGAAATAAAAAATAAAAAATAAAGTAAAAAAAAATCCCATGTCACAAATTTCTTGTGAGCCATACCAAAGTTAAGGGGAAACATGTGAAATGGCTTAGCTGAAGTTGGACAAGATACTAGCTTCCACTATATAGCATGATGATATATGAACAAAAACAATCCAATGAATGTGAGAAGGGGGCATGGTGGTCATGATGATAGGGTAGAAGATGAAGCCAAAATGGGGTTTCATTTTCCAAATAAATGAGCATGGCTTTGGTACTCAATTACATGAAGAAAAGGGACAAAAGAAGGGACCTAACCACATTGACTACTTACCCCCTCCATATCCTCATTACCTCTTCCAATTCTCCACTCATTTTCCATTGGCTTCTTCTATCACGCATATGACTCTCACGTGTCACCCCATGTGACTCTTCTTTTCAAGTTGGACTTCGATTGGTGCCTCTAAAGTAACACATACCCAATTCTTTTCATTATATAAAAATAATAATCAATGTTCGGTCTCTAATTCCTCTTTCTTTTTTTTTAAACAAGCATTAAGCACATGAATCAACTAGTATAGAGTTATTTCAGTTTGATTAATAAATTCTGAATTTCAAATATATAATCATGTTAAATACTCATAAAGAAAAAAAAAATTCTACTCATAATAGTCATATTTAGCTCCAACGTGATTGTGTCCATTAAAAGATACCTATGATTTATATTAAAAAATAATAATTGATCTTTTGACCTGATTATCGATTTGGTCGCATATTGTTTCTCTAAAACCAAATAATTAATTGTGATTACGTCTCTAATAAGCTATCTAGAGGATAAAAAAATAAAACGTTGTGGGTTATGTTTTCGGAGAAAGAGAGAGAGAGAGAGTAAAAGATTAAGCATAATGACAATGTTTTGTAATTTTAATTGTTTGATAGAATCCTAACACGTAAAGACAAATCCATAATGTGAACGAGAAGAAAGAAGATTAGAAAGGTTGAGTCTACTATTGAAACAAAACCTTTCTTAACGTACTTAAGATCAGTCTTGCTGATTTTATATGAAACAAATAACAACTTTTGACCATATGTGTTTATATTTATATAGGATCTATTAATAGGTGTTTTAAAAGTGCTTATTAAAGACTTAAAAATATTTGTGCGTGTGTGTGATTCACTTGCACCAAAAATAGGTTTTCATTAAATATATATAACGATTAAGTTCACTTTAATATTATTTAATTTAATGAAGAGAGAAAATATTTTTAGGTAAGATTCGTTTAAACAAAAAGCAAAAACAATGTGTAGTGTTGACAAATCAATGGCAAAGAAATGATCCGTCAACTTCTACTGTGAAGGGTTCAGGCCAACTTGTAGGTTTTGAAAAATGCTGAAATATCTTTCGGTCGAAATTTATAGGAAGTGGTAAAAGAAATGATTATCAAAGGATGAGTATTAAAAAAATGAATCTGAATTTTCTTACTATTGTAGGAAAATCCAAAAATTGCAATAGTAAAAGATTGGGTGTGAAAGAAGTTAGTTCCAATCAAAGTTAGACAAAATTGTGCTTGATTATCTAGAGAGGCCAACTTGTTTACACACATCACTACAATACAAATAAAATGAATGTTTATTATCTTAATCGTTCTTGTTAATCACCCATCCCAATAAGACAATAATTTGTTTTTTTTATTTTTATTTTTACTTTTTACAAAGCTTTTGTGATGTTAATTACCAAACGTAGTACTTTCTTCACCCATACTAGTGGAGTAGGGTTGACCTAATTGCATAAGTATAAACATAATCTTTCACTTAATACTATAAACCTAAAATTGAAAGATACGAGGCTACATTGATATAATCAAGGATATTTGACAAAATAAATTAATCGTTTTATTTACAACTTTCAACATTAGCAATATTATAAAAAAATAAAAAATAAAAACTCTCTTCAAAGAATGTGTCTCTCTCTTAATACCAAGCTAAAAAAACAAAAATCAAATTGCATCATTTTTTTAACAAATGAATGGCTTGTTAGTTATAATTGAAAAGGTCTTAACAACATACGTGTACGTATAAAGTTTCTATGACATTAATTTTGAACTGACATTCTTAAGAGAATGCTAAGATGTTCAGTGATGTTACATTTAAAGGACTTTGTTGTTCATTTACTTAAGAACATATATGAAGTTACTTATCATTTGTCTTATCTTAGGCTAGGCAATTCCCTTTCTTGTAGAAACTTTGTACTACAGTGCTATGGAAACTACTCAGTCATGTTATGAATTATCCTGAATGGAAAAAGGAAATGTACGAAGAAATTCTGCTATGGAAACTAACAATTACCTGGACAATTATTCTTATTATTAAAGGTAAGCATACTATTTGATGTAAAAAGGCTCATGGTCAAGAGTCAAGACCTAAGACTTGCCTTTTTTTTTTTAATTGTCCAAGGTATCTTTCACTCGGAATCAGATACTAATTTCTCAATATATATATATATATATATATATATATATAGAGAGACATAGAGATTGATCTTTCTTAACATGCATATACCAATCTCTTGTATATGAATTTTCCAATGAGACACAAAAATTGAGGGAGAGAGTATGGTTTGCAACTTCACTTAAATCGGTCCCATTTATGGCTTAAAGACAGACAACTAGACATGTTTCAATAAATTTCTACTGCATTTTTTAGCAATAGCTTTTACCAGTCAAAATCATACTACTCTATTCACTATTGGCTCTAGAGCTTTGTTTGTAGCTTTGTCCATTCTATGTTTTTAATATTACCATAACAATCCTAGATTATGTGAAACACTGATCTCAACAACTATTCTATTTAGAAGTCATAGGCAATCTAAAATGAGAAATTGTATTCGTACTATATGTATTAGCATAATTATTTATGAAACAAAGAAAAGATAAAAGAGAAGTGTATAATAAAATGGTTAATCATTGATGTGAAGAGATAAAAAGAAAAATAATATTATAAAAAGTGGTCTAGAAAAATAATATTTTTTCTTGAAATGACAGTAACATATTCTAAACAAAGAATTTATCAGTCCCAAAAAATCTTATTTTTCAGTTTTTGAGGATACATGTTTCTTAGGATGCTACCTTGTAGCTCTAACCATGGACCCTAATATCAAATTAAGCCCCATGTTGGAGATCATTTACCTAATCTTAGTAGAAACATTGGTTTTTGACATATTATTATTATATAAGACCATACATCCATTATGCAGTTAATAAATTCATCAATTCTCAGCTACCTAGATATACACATTTGCATGTTGTTCGGTGTTCATAATATCCTAATCCTACTATATCAAATTAATTCACCTTTCTCTCTCAAACTCTTTAACAAATCACTAAAATCGACATAGTAACAGAATATAGCAAGGAGTATACACATGATCTCAAATTTAAATTTTGATATTGTTTTTATAATTCAACTAATAAAAAAAACTCCTCAATTTATTAAAAAAAAAAACATATAATCTTGATTCTCCTCTCTAGCATTAGTTATTATGAAAAAGTGAACCTTTTTTCAACCCCAAGTCTTTGGAATTTTTTTACTGTGGAATAACCAAATCTTTGTTTTTCTTTATGAAAAAGGCCTTGGCGGTTACCTTTTTCTATGTGTGAGACTGTGGCAGTGCTACCTGAAGAAAGTGGGCAACCACAGGGCTATGGAAACATTAACTGCGGAAACGAGAAGCAACCATACATTGGCCCATTTTAAATGTACCTGGAGTAAATACATGTTACCTATTTTTGAATATGATGTCACACTTATCTTCTATTCTACCATAATTAGCACGACTAATTTGATCACAACTCACATGACTTTTATGACTATTTTTTTTTTCTGCTTTGAAATTGAAGATCCCATGACAAGAGTGAGAGTCTTGCAAACTGAATGGGAAACTTCTAAATTATTCCAAAAAGTGTAAACTTGTAGAATGGGTAGGGTAATTTTGTATGTGCCCCCCATCCTTCAAAATTTCTCAATGTTACCCTCCACACCAAGTTAGACTCTGAACCAAAGCAATCAAAAAGGCCTAGAAAGAAGAGAGCCATTTTTCTTCTTCCCTTCTGCTTTACCCTCATATATTGCTGCCCTTTGTAATCATGAGTCCTTGTGCCATCATTGCTATAAAACTCTCTCTCTCTCATACAAGCACAATCACAGCTATATTATAACACTTTTCCGTCACCCTAGTAGTTTCCTACCAAGTTTCTTCTCACCTATAAAAACCCCTTGTAGGCTATTTGTTACACCTCACTACCCCATTTTTTGTTTATTCATTTTTCAGTTTTGTAAGTGAACCTTATCTCTCAAGCTTGTAACTTTTCTTCTCTGAAGAGACTTGGTTTTTTAGAAGGGAAACAGCATGTGCTCTTTCTCTTCAAAACAAACCCTTCATGGCCCTCTCTTTTTGGCACTTCCTCGTCCATGTCCTTCTAAGAGACACCACAAGCACCTTAGGTTGAACCGTCTCAACAGGTACTGTTCTATAGTCTTGGTAGTTTTGTGTGCATGTGTGTTTGTGTGTGTTTTAACATTGGCTTGTGTGATGATGCAGAAGGAGGGCACACTTGAAAGAAGCAAGACAAAGAAAAAGGATGGTGGTGGTGAAAGCTGAGATTCAGATGAAGAACTTGAAATTGTATATGGAGAACAAAACCATCATAGAGGAGAATGAGAAGTTGAGGAAGCAAGCCATGCTTCTGCACAAAGAGAATCAAGCCCTCTTCTCTCAGCTCCAAAAGAAGCTTTCAGAAAAAAACAACAATACCAACAACGATTAGCTATTAGCTAATTAATATATACAGTTTATTATTAGTGTGGCCAAGAGTAGGAAAATTAAAGGGTCTGTGTCAATGATCTTTTTCTGATATGTTAGTCCTGTATCTTGACTGTGCTTCTTTTTTGTTTTTTGGTTGCATCTTAGTTGGAGGTTAAATTAATTAATTCTCTAGCAATAAGTTTAGAGAGATAAAATAAAGATAAATAGGTAATATGCCAATTGTAAGCATTACATGGAACATAGAATTGTGCAAGGCTGTATTAGAGTTCAATTTTGTACTACTTCATTGTTAGTTTTGCTGATGGTGTATGTTTTCAGAAGGGGAGACAATAGTTTATTAGTATTATAGGTTTTTTTCTCTTACGAGTGTAATTTAATTAAACTAATAAAGGTGACAAATAACACTCAACATGTCGTTGTAATGGCATTGTTATATAAGAGTAGTGTAGAAATAAATCACAAGTTTCGATTATTTTATTTGATGCTATCAGTTGTCAAATGATCCATTCGTTATCAAGAGCTTAACGCAATTAGTTCTGTACCCAATACATCATACATAACTAATCTTCCTACAGGTATATTTCCGGTGATCATAGTTAAAGTTACTGACGGATGCAGAATTATAAGATTACTGGACTAGACTTAAATGTATAATAAAATTCTTGTTGTAACAAGAGAAGACTTAAAGAGGGGTAAGTTGTTTTTATTCCTCAAATTTAAAATTCATGACTACCTATAAATCACTGCCAGAGACAAATTTAAATCAATTGCGTGAGATCAACTGAATTTAGTTTGATGCTTTCGATATACTAATAAATAAATTTTGTACAATAAATTTAATAATAAGTATATATATTTTTTTTTTTTGTAAATTTACTGGCAGCATTTATGCACATATATTTTTTAAATTAGAAGGATTAAAAATATCAATTTTAAATTTCAAAATATAAACAAATATTTTCCAAATCGGAGAGTTTAAAAATATATTTAGGCAGAGGGAAATAGTTACACCGTCCAACACAAAAGGAGGGAGGATAAGGAAAGCCAAGAAATGTTCTCCACTTAATAATCCACTATTTTCATCTTTGCAGCTTATAAAGGAATCCTTAGAAGAGCAACAGTCACATCTCCAGGTGTTTGTTGATTATATGGTAAAAAAAACTTTTAAAAATATAATTCCAAATTTTCTCGCAGATGAATGTGAAGGATAGAAAATCAGGGACTTATTCATCGTTATAATGTTTCACTGCTTTGATATTCACCTTCCACAACTTAAACCGAGATCTGAGTTCTATAGTTACGCGAGTTTGTGTCTGTAAAAGTTTGTGGTAAAAACTAGGACTAATGCAACATGCTGTAGCAAATAAAATTCAGAACAAACTTGAACCAATTTCCAACTACAAAGTAATCAGTCAAAAGATACTAGATGATCATTACCAAGTTCACTTCAATTTACTACAACAGTCTCATCTGGATTCGAAGTTTGGCAAACCCCTAGAAAGGATACAATTACAACTTAATAACGACTAACCAAGAAAAAGTCATCATCTTCAAGAACTTCAACATCTTTATTTCCAACAAAATGCTCTCGACCAATTTCCTTCACCAAATTGGCAAACTCTACCCTTTTCTCCACAGGGAGGGGTACAAACGGTAGCCGAAAAACAGGCCTGACAACCCCAAGTTGAGCAAGAGCAGTATTCAAACCAATGGGGTTTGGCATGTGGAAAAGCCAGTCAATCAGAGGTAAGAGCTTTGAATTTAGTGTAGGGTTTAGGCCACCAAACATGAGTTCTCGCATTAAACCAGGAACCAGGTTGCTTGCAACAGATATCACTCCAGTAGCTCCATAACCCCATCTAGCATCATGGCATTGATCATCATTCCCACTCCACACAACAATTCCATTATCTGTATACTGCTTGATCCGCTCATTTCCCACACACTCCTTGACACCAGCCAAGTTAGCACTTTCAGCTAAGGATAGAATTACATGTGGAGGAATGTCTTGGCCCGTCCGTGAAGGCACATTATAGATTATTGTTGGCCCCATGGGAAGCACACTTTGAAAGTGAGCAACCATGCCATCCAAAGAGGTTTTTCCATAGTAAGGGTTTATGTGAAGGGCAGCATGCATTCCAACAGCAAAACCCTGCTCGGTGGCATGAATTGCTTCCCTGGTGGAATTGCTTCCAGTATTTCCAATAACCTTAATTTTCCCACCATAACAGTTGACAGTGTGAGCAATAAGCATGATGTGCTCTTCCCAGCTCATTAATTGGCCTTCACCGGTTGTCCCACCAACAATAACAGCTTCAGCTCCTTGTCCAATCTGCATATTCACCAGGTCATCATATGCTTCAAGATCAAATCGACCATCTGGTAGGTATGGAGTTTTAATGGCAGTTATCAATCTCAGACACTTTATTTCCTCTGCAGAAGTCCTGTAAATACAGTACACATAGTTTCATTTCCGCAAATTATTATGATCCAAATTTATAAACAAAACTAGCATCACAAATAAGCAGTAATGAAACCAGAAACACGAGAACAATTTTTTATTACACTCCTTAAAATATGTACTGATGCAAATTAAGTTCAAAGTGTAAATTAGTGAGAGAACATTGCTTAAAGCACTAGATGCATCACAAATTAGAATGGATCATTATCTGTGTCTCTTCCAGAAATCCTACCCAGAGAATGCATCCTATTGTTCCCACCTAATTTAGACAATACACACATAAGTACATACACATAATGTAAAAATACTGTCTCAGAAATGGAAAAGATAAAAAAATAATAATAATAATAATAATACACACGCGCGCGCGCGCGCACACACACACACACACACACATATATATATACTAAAATAGT